TCCAGGCTTCAGTTTTCTCCCTCCCTGATAAAATGAAATGGTAGGACTGGATTCAATTCAGTACAACAAGCATTTATTAAGTGCCTACTGTGTGTAAGACACGACATTATGTGCTGGGAATACAAAAACAACAGTCCTTATTCTCAAAGATAATTAATAATAACAACAATAGTTAGCCCTTTAAGATTTATAAAGCTCTTTGCATGTCACTCCATTTGAGCACAACATCCTGCTGTGGTGGATGCTATAATTATTCCCATTTTACAGATGAGGAAACTGAGGCTGAGGAAGGGGAAATGACTGGCCTGAAGTCACATAGCCAGTGTCCGAGGCAGGATTTAAACTGAGTTCTTTTTTGATTACAGGTCCAGTATGGGACCCATTCTACCACATCCTTCCTAGAGCAAAGAACACGTAAAACACATAAGTAAATAAAAAGGAATTTCGATGGGTGGGGGACAATAGCAACTGGGGGGAATGCAAGAAAGCGGGGTGGGAGAACAAGCATTATATTAAGTACCTACTATGTGCCAAGCGCTTATATAATAAAGCTATATTATATACATTTATTATTTCATTTAATCCTCACAATGGTCCTGTGATAATGGCACCATTATAATTCCCATTTTATAGACAAGGAAACTGAGCACACCAAAGTAAAGTGACTTGCCCAAGATCACATAGCTAGTAAGTGTCTGAGGCCAGATCTGAACTCAGGTTTTTGCAACTCCAGGCCCCAGCACTCTATCAACTCCACCACTTAGCTGCTTAGGTAGAAGGTGGGGCTCATGGAAACACTTTGAATAAGAGGTTGCTTCTAAGCTTGAATAGAGTCAAGGGCAGGCTGCTTCCAACTCTCTCCTTACTTTCTACAAGACAATAGTGTAGGTCACCCTAATTTCACTGATGACAAAACTGAGGCCTAGGAGAGCGATAGGACTTACCCAAAAGTAGCCAAGCAAGGACTCAAACCCAGACCTATGTACCCGTGTTGTTTACATTATGCCGTAGCCCTCCTCTGGGTTCGAAGGCTCCTTCTTGTACAGGCCCTGACAGTCAATGTTCTACATTCCAAGTCCCTCCCAGGGATTCTGGCATTCTGGTATTATAAGATCTCTTTTTATGCCATCCTGGAATTGAAAGTGGGCTTCATGGGGCTACAGAGGAGGAGAGAGCTGAGCTCCTTCTTTCCCACACCTGTACTCGAGGTCAGATGCCTGCCTCAGCAACATTCCTACTTTAGGACCCTGCTCATGGTACTAGAATGTCACGAAGAGGAGGGTCTGAAGAAAAGGCCAATTAACAGTGCCTCATGGCTCAGGAGGAAGAAGGAGAGGTGGAGGAAGAGGAGGAAGCAGCCTGAAGCCTGTGCAACAGCAATGCCGCATGACCATCCCTGGGCTATAGCTCTGAATCTGTCTTCTTGTAAGGTCATACAAGGAACAGCAGGGCAAGAACACTCAGGCTGGCACTGCTTAAAGGCCAAGGAATGGACAGGAGCCACAAGGTGACCTTGTAATTCCTGTCCCTCAGCCTTAAATACAGAGCTGCAGAACATCAGACCTGGAAGGGACCTGGGAGATCGCTTCATTTTACAGCTGGAGAAACTGAGGCCCAGAGGGAGGGATTAACTCAACCACTGTGACACAGCAGGACAGTGGCTGAGCTGGAAGCAGAACCTCGGGTTGCTTGACTCTGGGGTCTACTTACCATGCCGTACTGCAAGCTACCTCCATGATTCCTCTTGGAAAAAACAAGGGTTTGGAATGGGAAAGATAAATAATTCACTAAAGACCCCCCCAGCCCTCATACTAAGTTAATAGTCTCAATTTAAAACACACACACACACACACACACACACACACACACACACACACACACACCCCACACACACCAATTAAATTAATTGGACACTTTCATCGAGTTCACTAAACGGAGAGAATGGCTTTATTAACTTAATCACTTCCTCAGCAATTAAATAATTTTATTTTTTATTAACATCTTTGGCTTTTAAGCTGTGAGTCTAACACTTCTCATCTGATAGCTCACAAATGGGCAGATTCCTGGCCCCGGGGCCAGTGTGCTCCCCTAACCCTGTAGCAGGGGTGCCTTCCTGTGTATGGGACACTGAATAGACAGTCTTCCCCAATGTGCTGCAGCACATTTTGTGTTAAGGGAACAACCCTAGAGTCTAGACCCAAGAGACCTGCATTTAATCCGCATTATCGACATTTCCTCCATTGCTTTCTTGAGTCTAGTCCACCAATAAAACAATAAAGCAAGCCTTGATTTGCAGTTTGCACGTTTCTGAGGTGTGAATGCTCCAACTGAAAACGTAAGAACCAGCAAGCTATCTCCAACATGCCCAAGTTTAGTCAGGCATTTCAAGCCGGAAGGTGTGCTTTGACCAAACGTATTTTGAAAATGCCAAATTTATCTAACCTCCTCCTATTTCAGGGGAAACCGAGACTCAGATAGAGGCTTCTCTAAGCTCATACAACACATCATGGGGGCCGTCTCCAGTCCTCCTGGTCTGTATCTTGCCACTGGACCCAGATGGCTCTGGAGGAGAAAGTGAGGCTGGTGACCTTGCACAGCCCTGCCTCACTTAAATCCACTTCACTTGTGAGCCACAGCATCACCTCCCTGATGTCATGGTCCTCTCAGAGAACGAAGGACAAACAATGACAACAGCATCACGTCAGCAGCACAGCCAGGATGCAAACCCGTGTCTCTTGACTCCCCCGTACGAGGCTCTTGCCACTGTACCGCAAGCCTTCTTCCTCCGTTCTAATGGAGGCAGCTGGCCAGAACGCTGAGTAGGAATGAGGAAAACCTCACTTCTTGCCTCAGCTCCTTCCTAGCTGTGTGGCCCTGAATGGGCCATTTAATACAGAGGTGTCAAACTCAAGGCCTAAGCTGCCTGTGGCCCATAAAACTCCCTAGTGGGCCGGAACCAAATTAAAATGTAACTGGAAATGTTTTGTTAAATAAATAAATAAAAATACAATAAATTTATGGTTTATTTATGGTTTTTATAGAGTCAACAGGAAGGCAGCAGGAATCCATTTCTATTTGAGTTTGACACTACTGATTAACCCTTCCCCTGGGAAGTCATATAACTCCTCTTAGCCTCAGTTTCCTTATTTCTAAAATGAGGATGATAATGGTGCCCACTTCAGAGGGTTGTTGTGAAGACCAAATGGGATAATTAATGTAAAGCTCTTTGCAATCCTTAAAGCCTTTTATAAACATGAGCTGTTATTATTAAGTTCGCTGACATTTTCTTGACGGGGGTTTAAATTAAAATTAAATAATACTTGTTACTTTATTCAATAATGAAGTAAAATCATGGCCTAGTTTCCTTTTGCAACCACACCAAACAAAAAGAGGTGGATTTGTGGTTGCCTTAATGAGAGGAGGGCCGGGCGAAGAATTATTCCCAAAATGTCGCAGGGGGAGGGAGGCTCCGCGCTCTGGGTCTTGCAGGGAAAATACTTTATGAAAATTTATTGCCCCATAAAGGAGAGAAAATGACTTATTCAAAAGGGTGGGGGGGGGAATGCAAAGGGCTGCTGGGTTGGGAGGTGCTGTGCTAGCAACTAGGATGGGGAGGCACTGTAAATAAACTGGTGTCCAGGATGTAAATCAAAGCCTGGCTGCCAAGGCCTGAGGCCCAGATGGGAGGCAGGGAGAGAAGTCAAGGGCATCTCAGAAAAGAGCCCTGCTGTGGGGAAAGAAGTCAGCCTCCATCACTGACTTCCCCATCCTATGGGGCATCAGGCCTCAGGTTCCCGGGAAATGATGGCGTTAGAATCAATGATCGCTAAGGTTCCTTTGGGTTCTGACAATATACATTTTCTGTCTTACTCCTCCACTGTGTCAGGCTCTAAACTCCCTTTCTCTAGGGGATGGATCACAGGGTCACCCATCTCAAATTAGAAAGGGGCTCCCCATTTTACAGATGAGAAAACTGAGGCTCCCCAAGGAGGTTAAATCCCTCAGGGTCACCCAAAAAGTAAGCGGCAGAACTAGGATTCAAACCTGGGTCTTCTGCCTCCAAATACTCCACACTTTCCTCTGTATCACACTCTGAACTTAAAAGCTGATAATCTATTCATTTGTGCTGGATCCTGAATCTCACTCTGACGTCTATTCCTGACTTCTTCTTAAACTAGAGGCTCTCCAAAAGACAGCGATTGCATTTCCTCCCTTAGACCACAGGCTTCCCAAGGGCAAGAGCTGAGTGTCCCCCCTCACTCCAGGGGTGCTAGAGGGCCAGGGCTGCATTTTCTTCCAACACTTAGTCTAGGGGTCTGGTTCTAGAGGAAGGTCGAAGGAGGTCATCCCATGGCACTTACTCCCCAGGCTCTTGGGTACCAGGACAGATTTTGGGTGGCCCTGGGTGAGGTGAGGGGGAAGTAGTCCTCCTGCCTCCACCCAGGTAGGCTGGAATAGCACACTTTTAATGAGATAATATATGTGAAAACACTTTGCAAAACTTAAAGTGCTATTTAAATATTAGCTATTATTATTCCTGCCTCTATCAACTATTCTATCTTGCTTTCCAATAAGATATTTGATGGAGGTGAACTATAAAGCTAGCCCTTGTGCCAGATGTAGGCTGGGAGGAGGAGGGGGGCTGGGCTGAGTCCATGGTGCTGATTAGACTCTCCCTTGATGGGGGATTGGTGGGAAGAGAGAGTGGTGGGAAAGGTAATGGGGGACAGCAACCAGATGGACGAGTCAATGAGCTGGAAAAAACCAGGGTCAGGGTAGGACACGGCATCAGGGATAGAAACAAGGTCTAAACCAAAAATATGCAAGGTCTGAGGCTAGGGCTGGCAAGGAACAAGGTCTGGGTTTCAGGCTTCAAGAGTTGGTGCCATGTGTTAGAATAGTTGATCTAGACACAAGCTGGTCACACCAAGGGGCCACCAAGGACACAGCAGTTGTCAGTCAAACCAACCACTATTGAAATGCATTCTCTGGACTCTTACCTGCCAGCTGGGGAGTTCTTCAGGGCACCAGCACCTTTATTAACATTCCAGGAAAATAGAAGGCAGAAGGCTCATTCCAGCTCCTATCAGCAAGGACAGAGGCTCTCCAGCCCACTGCTACCAACACTAACCTCTGTGGAATGTATCAAGCAGAAGACACGTTAAGGAAAATTAACTTTTCAAGTCAGGAAGGGGAAGATGAGACTAGTAACTAGTTGATGGGGAAAGGATCTGAGTGTTCTAGGGGACCCAGGTTGAACAGGATGTGGCCACCAAAAGAATCTAACATCATCTTAGGCTACATTCTAAGAGGTCTAACTTGTCTGAAATAAGGGGATTGGTAATCTTTTTGGACTTTACCCTAGTCAGACCATATCTAGAGATTTGTGTTCAATTCTGAGGACCACATTTAACAAAGGACATTGACAATTCCATGAAGGATAGGGTGGTTGACTCAAGGGAGAAAGATTTGTTGGCTTGGCCTATGACCGTCTGTCAGGGATGGTCTTGTGACTGGGGCAGAAGCAGCCTCGCTTGCTCCCTTCTACATGAAGGATGGAAGAATTAGTTAAGGGTTAGTGCTGAGGGAAAGAGGTCTTCATGGACCCTAACCTTGAGGGCTCCAGCTTGGGGAAAATATAGACACAGAGAGGGGCCTTTAAGGGACTTAAGTTGTCTGTGCCTAACAATCCCTTAGTTATGAAGATCTGAAGCTGAGACAGGAAAGGCGAGACCCAGAAAGAAGGGACTTCCAGATTCCCAATGCAAGCTTCCTAAAGTCATTTGAGCTATTCCTCTTCCTGTTTATTAGTCCACAGGCATTTATTAAGTGTGTATTATGTACCTGGCACTGTGCTATGTTGGGTATATAAAGAAAGACATAGCACAGGGGGAGAGAGCATATAAATATCTAGGTATATAAAATACGTACAATTATATGAAGGCAGTAGTGGGGGGGGGAGGGAGAAATGGTGATAATGTGAAAGATCTTCTAGAGAAGGTGATATTTGAGCTAAGGAAGCCAGGTGAGGGGGCAAGGCATTTCTGGCATGGTGGATAGCCAGTGCAAAGGCAGAGATGGAGATGGAGGGTCACGTTTGAGGAAATGCAAGCAGGTCGGTGTTTCTGGATCACAGAATGTGTACAGGGGAGCAAAGTGTAAGATTTTTTTTTTAAAAAGAAAGGCAGTAGGTTACAAAGAGCTTTAAATCACAAACAGAGGAGTTTACATTTGATCCTGAAGGTAATAGAAAGGTACTGGAGCTCCTTTAGCAGAGGGATAACATGGTCAGACCAACACTTTAGGAAAATCACTTTGGCAACTGAGTGCTTGGTGGATGGGAATGGGAAGACATTGGAAGCAGGGGAGATAATTTAGAAGGCTATTTCAATATTCAAGGCATGAGGTGATGAGGGTCTTGTAGCTATAGGGGTAGAGAGAAGAGGACACAGACAAGAGAATGTCATGGGGGTAGAAACAACAAGATGTGGCAATGGGTTGGAAATGTGGGAGTGAGTCAAGGTTGCAGGCCTGAATGACAAGAAGGATGATGATGTCCTCAACAGTCAACAGGAAAGGTGAGAAGAAGGGAGGGTTTGTTGGGAGAAAATGTGAGTCCTGTTTTGGACACGCTGGGTTTGAGATACCAATGGAACGTCCAATTTCAGATGTAAAAACGGCAGTTAGTGATGCATGATTGGAGCTCAGGAGAAAGACTGGAGTTGCATTTAGAGAAGTATAAAAACATTTCCCCAACCGGGGGCTTGGGGGGAAGACTATTCTCTTTTCTAGTGCCTTGGTCCCTGGTAGGAGTGGCCTCAAACTTAAAGCAGAAGCTACAAACATCCATCCCACCACGTTCACCCCTGAATTTGGCCTCGCTGATGGACAGAAGTCACTCAGTTTCTTTCTGGCAGGACACAACATCTTTGGCCAATTCCCTGATCTGCCAGATCTCACAGACAGCTCTTCTGGGCTGTGCTGGTACCTCACCCGGATTGGTTGTGGTTGCTACAGCAGCCTCTGCCATGGACTCCTATCACTGGATCTCTACAGTCCTTTTGAATCTCACAAGGTCATTCCATGTCCAATACTTCACCTGAGGGTAGAAAAGAAGAGACACGGCAGAGAGAAAAGGAACAGCTGGGCTTGTGCACTCATGGGCCAGCGACCTGGGTGGAGGAGATAAAGGCTGAGCCCTCTGCCCGTACTCAGAGGCTTACTGCACGTCACCTTCCTCATCTGAACTCTGCCAAGCCCGCTGCAGAGGGAGAACAACTTGGACACGATGCACATTTCTGTATGAACACCAGGTTCCAGCTCAGTACCAAAGGACCTTTTCTTTATTTACCATTTAGTAGGCAGTTAGGAAACAGAACACCTGCTAGTTGGGCCCCCCCCCATTCTGCATCCCCAGGTACCTTTGGACCTTAACTGGGCTGTCATAGGTTGTTCTCCTTCATTAAATAAATGAATATACAGTTCATGAACCAATGAATATAGTGCAGAATTACGTAAGGGCAAAGGAGCTATCAGGCAAAGTGTTCTTGAAAAATCTGAGGAAAACAACATCTTCACCTGGGGAAGGCTCCATGGAAGAGGTAAGACTTTTTCTGAATCTTAAAGGAAGAGAAGGATTTAAACAAGCAAAGATAAAGACAGAATGCAATCCAAATGGAAAGCATACCTGTCCCCCCCCCACCATGGGTCCCTCCTCTTCAGCTGGTTACTAGCTGGGATGCAATACCTACTCAAGCCACCAGGTGGCTCTCCAAGCCTGTGCTGCATCCCTTACTACTGCACATCAGGCAACAAAATTTGTGAAATTAAACTTGTTGAAACCAATTCCTTTAGCCTGTTATACCCTCCCCACTAGGAGCACTGGATTTGGAGTCCGTGGGCCTGGGTTCAAATAATGACTCATCACTTCACTACCTGTGTGATTTCTCTGGGCCTCAGTTTCCAGCAGTCCAAAGCTTTTGCAGACATTCAGCGTACCGACGTTCATCTCCACTGCGTCACTCTTGAGTTCAAATCTGGCTTGACATGTGCCGGTTGTGTCACCCCAGGCATGTCACTTCAGCTCTGCCTGCCTCAGTTTCCTCAACTGTAAATGGAGACAATAATAGCACCTACCTGACAGGGTTGTTGGGGGATCCAAAGAGATATTTGTAGAGGGCTTAGCACGTAGTAGGCACTTCATAAAGGGGAGGGGAGGGGAGGGGAGGAGAGGAGGGTGGAAGGGAGAGAAGGGAAGGAAAGGGTGGAAGGGAGGAAAGGGTAGAGGGCAGGCAGGAGGGGAGAAGATTCAGAAGGTTGTGAATGGAGGTCTGAAGTTTTGGAAGACATGAGGATAAATTGTAAGAAGGAATAACTAACACATTGGATGAGAGTCAGGTGTCAAAAAGTTCTTGACAGGTTAGAACCCTGGACTCAATCCATTAAATGCTATTAATTGACCAAGATGTAGTAGTAGTAGTAGTAGTAGTAGTAGTAGTAGCAGCAGCAGCAGCAGCAGCGGCAGTGGTAGTGGTAGTAACAATTTTAATTTTAGTAGTAATAGCAACTGATATTTATATAAAGACTAGCTGTGCAATATTGGGCATGTCACTTAATTCTGTTTGCCTCAGTTTCCTTATCTGCAAATGAGCTGGAGAAGGAAATGGCAAACCACTCCAGTATCTTTGCCAAGAAAACCTCAAATGGGGTCACAAAGAGTCAGAAACAACTAAAAAAAAACAAACAAACTGAACAACATAAGATTTGCAAAGAGCTTTATAAAATATTTTCTCATTTGATCCTCACAATAACCCTGTAAAGTAGGTGCTATTATCCCTGTTTTACAAAAGAGGAAAGAGAGGCAAATAGTGATTAAATGATATGCCCATAGTTAGTATTTGGGGTTGGATTTGAACTCAGGTCTCCAGGTGCTATGCTCTAGCCACTGTGCTACCCAGTAGTGGTCCAGATCTATGATTTCATCGATGTAGGGAGCACTTTGGAGAGGAAACTCCTTCCACCAGTACAGATCGGTAGCAGCTCTTCAACATTTAGTCTTAGAGAGTTGCCTGAGCATTAAGGAGTGAAGTGACCTGACCAGGGTCACACAGGAACCCAGCTCAACCTGACTCCGAGGGTAGCTCTCCATCCACCACTCCACGCTGCCTGAACTATAAACAAATATCAGTCAATATTGTGAGACATAAGAGGAAATCTGAGGCTGCATTAAGACAAGCATCGGGTCAAGCACTAAGGACGTGTTAATCCAACCTGCCTGCCCCAGTCCGATCACATCTGAGGCCCTGTGTTCGGTTCTGTGTTCCACATGTTAGGGAGGATATCAGTAAGTACGAGATCAGTGCCCCGTCCTTGAAGCACACAAAGACATTCCTGCCTGTGGCAATTCCAATGCGTCAATTTTGGGGAGCCAGTTTCTGGCGACTGTGACTCAGGGTTGATGCTATGTGATGAGGAAAAGTCATTGAATTGGCTGGGGAGCAGGAAAACTGATAAGCCAGAACTGAGTGTGCACAGCAAAGGTGAGACTTGGGCATCATTCAGTCTCTCGCTTCCCGCTGAGGAGTGGAGCAAGTACTCCTACAAACTGCTGGGTAAGGGAAGGAGGGGCTGCCCTAGCTCCCACCTGGGCGCTCTGGCAAACCTGAGCACGTGGCGACTGTTTCTTTTGTGTATAACTGGGGCTGGTGCACAGGCACAATAATGCCCCTCACAGAAGAAGGTGAGGTTGTGTAACGCATACTACTCCTTGATCTGGAGCATTCACAACCACAGGGTGAAGAGCAAGATTGTGGACTGTCTGGATAGCCAGAACTGGAGTACATTCAAAAGGCATTCACTGGCCAAAGTGGGACGGTCCTCCTTCCTGCCCGGCTGCGTTCAAGTGAGGAGGCAAGGACTAGGCCCTCAGTGGGGAGAGTGCCTTCAGGCCTTTATCTCCCCATCAGAGTCTTTGGCCTTGCTGTTGTATCTATTCTCTCCCGATTTTACATAAAGGAGCCTAAAGATGGTGCTGGCCTTGTGAGCTTCAAAAGGTCAGGAGAGCAAGCCACCTGAATTCTAGGAGCTGAAGTCCGGGCCAGGATTTCCCAAAAGCCGAATGGCATGGGGTGAAGATCCCAGAAGATCCGAAAACCCCAGAGAACAGCAAAGTTAGCAGAGATTTGGACTCGTCCATCCATAGGCCATACAGCATTTGGAAGCGAACTTTGTGGGACAAATGCTATGTAGAAACTGTGTCAAATCTGAGTCCACTCTTCCCAGAGTCTGAGGTGGTATAGGGACGTGGGACCCAGTGTTTTGGGGGAAATGCTTGTACTTTCTGTTCTCGCTATATTTTCACAGTAAGAATCCCTTTGTAAAAGTTAATTGATGCTGATTAATTAAATGAAACTGGCACTATTCACTAGTAGTGAATAGTGGAGAGAGCACGCTGGAAAGGGGGCTTAAGCTAAAGTATCAGAGAAAGACTCCCCTGGAACTTCAGGCATATGCCTAGAACCTTGAGGGGTAAAATAACCTGTCTTATTCTGGGAGAATGAGTCCAGAATCTCACTAACTCATCTTCATTTATTTATTTGTTTGTTTACCTATTTATTTATTTGTTTATTTTTGGCTAGGCAATGGGGTTAAATGACTTGCGCAGGGTCACACAGCTAGTAAGTGTTATGTGTCTGAGGCCAGATTTGAACTCCTGAATCCAGGGCCGGTGCTCTATCCAGTGCACCACCTACCTGCCCTAACTCGTGTTTATTCTTTCCTAATGTTAGACAAACAAGTATTCCAAGAGGGGTTGTCAGAGTTTAGGAGATCCAGAGAACCGATCAGAAGGAAGCAGTAACAGTGCCTGATAGAGCTGAAGTAGCCAATGATGGAGGAAGCATATGCAGGCAAATCTGAAAAGAAAGTGGAGTATAACAACAGCATCCTCCAGGGTCAACTATAAAACCTCCGCTTGGCTTATCAGGCCCTCCATACACAGGCCTCTTCCTACCTCAATAGTCGTCTCATACTTCACATCCTCTACTACCCCCTCTGAGATCCAGTGATTCTGGCCTCCTTGCTGCTTCTCAAACAGAACGTTCCCCATCTCCTGTCTCCAAACATTTTCACTGACTCCCCATGCCAGGAGTCCCCCTTAATCTCTACTTCCTAGCTTCCCCGGCTTTCTTCAAGTCTCAGTCAGAAGTCCCATCTTCTACAAGAAGACATTCCCGATCCCCCTTTAATGCTACTGCCTTCCCTCTGTTGATTATCTCCAATGTATTCTGTATATAACTTGTTTGTACAAAGTTGTTTGCGTATTGTCTCCTTTCATTAGATTTTAAGCTTCTCAAAAGCAGGGGCTGAATTCTGTCTTTCTGAGTATCCGCAGTGCTCGGTACTGTGCCTAGCAAACAGTAAGTGCTTAATAAATGCTTACTGATTGACTGACTTCAGAGATCAAGACCCCTTGCGATGGGGAGAAGTGGCAGCTTTGGACTCTATAAAAGCCCCAATATTAGAACCCAGCTCAGAGCTACAGCTAATTAGGGACTTCACAAAGACTCCAGGAAGGGAGAAAAGGACATCCAGACAAGAAGTCAGAAGATATCCCTCTGTCACATGTATCCTCTTACACACAGGTCTTATTAATATTGTACTTTAAGTTTGAGCCCATTGGCCCCAGGGACTTTCTGTGCTCAAAGAAAGACTGTTCAGAAGTAGGATGGTCTCATGTAGGGTGTGTCATAGAGGAGATTCTGCTGTCAGACTAGATGTCTTCTGAGGTCCCCTCCAATTCAGTGACTGCCCCTGTGGGTAGTTAGGGCAGAATGGACAAGGAGGTCCTAAAGGTTGAGAAGGATGATGAAAGAGGACAGAGTGTTAAAAGGGTCATGATCACAAATACTGAAGTCACCAAGTATGATGTAGGGGAAGGGGTGAAAAGGAAGACCGTGAATCTAGTGCAAAAGTCTATTGAGAAAAAAAGAGAATAACACGGAGGCTGGTGGATGACAACCATCAAGATCTAGAAAAGGCTTACATGAAATAGTATGAAGTACAATGAGGACAGATTGTTCAGTGATGACGGCAGACAGAGAGAGTCTCAATGCTAACAGTGGTGCATTAGTGCCAGAAGACACAAGAAGCGCAAGAAGAGATTAAAGATGAAAGGGTTTTCTCAATTGATAAATGGTCAAGGGACATAGACAGGTATTTTCAAAGGAAGAAATTCAAACTATCTATACTATATTAAAAATGCTTCAACTCATTAATAGAGAAATTAAAATTAAAGCAACTCAGATTCTACTTCGCACCCATTCTACCTGGCAATGTCAATGACGGGGCCTGACAAATGTTGGAGGGACTGTGGGAAAACAGGCACATTAATGTATTCTGGGGTAGTTGTGAATTGGTCCAGCTATTCTGGAAAGCAACTGATAACTATACCCCCAAAGCTACCAAACTGCATTTGACTCAGTGACACCACTGCTAAGCTGATACCCCCAAAAAGATCAAAGAAAGAAGAAAATGACACATTTATACAACAAAAATGCTCAATATATCTCTTTCTGCAGTGGCAAAAAAAACCCTAGAAACTCAGGGGGTACCCATCAATTAGGGAGAAAGGTTGTGGAGGACATGGACTAGAAAGGGTGTACTACCAGAGGACTAAGAGAATGCTTCTGAACTCTCTATAGTGTTAGAAAAAACTACACGGAGCATGTATTCTCAGAGTTTGAGGAGACCCAGTAGATCATCCATTCCAACTCATACCCAACAAGGAATTCCCTCTGCAACATTCTTAATAAGCAGTCCTCCAGACTTACAAAAGCTTCCAATTGCACTCACTCTCTCTTCCCTCTCATCTGAGGACTCCACCTCTTACTTCACTCTTTCTCCCAAACTGAGGCCACTTTCTGAGACCTTCCTTCTCCCCACCTCCTCATCTCATATCACTCAGACATTTTCCCCTAATACCTCCTTCACTTCAGTCTCTGAATGAAGAGGTGGTCCTTCTCCTTGCCCAGACCCTTCTACTTGTATCCTTGATCCCATCTTCTCCAGATCATTCCCCACTCTCTCCCTAATCTTCAACCT